CGAGCGGGGCGGCTGCAACGCGCTCGCTGCAGCGGGCACGGCGGCGGCGGTAGCAGCTGGATGGGGCCCCTGCCTCCCGCAGCCTTCGCCGCTGCCGCCGCTGGCCCCCGGCGGCCACGCTCCGGGGTCCGGTCCCGGGGCGGCACGGGGCTTCGTGAGCTCTCTGGGCGCCGGCCGGGCGTCGGGGGAGCAGCTACAGCCGCCCCGGTCTGCGCCTTTCGCCTCCTGTGCTTCGCCGCAGCTGCCCGACGGGCCCGGGGACGGCGGGCAGGAGGAGTTGGAGGAGGACGATGCCTTTTCCAGCGTGCAGGTGCCGACGGCCGCCTTCTTGGCCTCCGGGACCCCCGGGAGTGGGAGCGGCAGTCGAGGTCGCCTCAACTCGTTCACTCAGGGAATCCTGCCCATCGCCTTCTCCAGGCAGACCTCGCAGAACTACTGCTCTCTGGAGCAGCCGGGCCAGGGGGCCAGCACCAGCGCCTTGGAACAGCTGCAGAGGTCCCGGTGAGTATCCAGGATGCGACGCGCGCCTCGCCCCCGCGTCCCTCCCAGCCGGCTCTTGGCCGCGGAACACGGATCGCTCCCACCTTCTCGCGCCCTGCTGGAACCCTGAGCTTCTGGCCCAAATTCCAAACCACGAGGGCCCGTAAAGAGAGAGGGGCCCCAGGGACTTGTGTTCACAGGTGTGTGCATGAGCCCGGCACTCAAAGAGCAGAAGCATCACGCTCACGCTGTGAGTCCGGAGTTGGGAGTTGCGGGAGTCCATTAAAAAGCCGCACCCAAACCTCCCACTGTAAGGAGATCACCAACTTTCAGAAACCGGGTTCAGACCCAGAGGCGCTCTCTCCCCACGCCAGGCAAGACTTGGCGGGGCGCAAAGGTTCAGCTGGTGGCTGAGTGGCGCGTGTAAGCCTGCACTTCTTGCAGACTCGCGGTGAATCCCTCATGAGAAAAGTTCCTGCTTGTGCTCATAGTAGTCCGGTGTCCCGGGAAATCTTGGGGTTTTCCTTTTGCTTTCCTAAGAAATGGAAAATTCTTGCATTTCCTTGCAATGGGCCTTGGAGGTTGGACACAGAGAGGAAATAGGGCTTGATGATGTTTTTTTTTTTCCATTCCAAGATGAATTTGCTAGAGTTAGTTAGAAGCTTGTTATATTTGCCAGCTTATGTCATCTGCTGGTTTTAGGCATCTTAGCAAAAATATGAAATGTTGGACATTTGTTTATTGTGAAGGAAATAGCTGGAGTTTGTCACCATATGTTCAAAGGACAGGTGGGAGTTAGGTCTGTGTCAGCAGTAAGGCCGGAGTTTGGAAAAGAATCTGAGTGGGGAGCAGTAGAGAAATGCAGGCCTCTTTCCTTCCTGGGAGGGAGTATTCTCCCTTGTTAGTTTAATAAGGCCTCCTGTGAAGTCAGTTATAGCTTGGGCTCTACCTTGGGTCAGTTATTTTAACCTCCTGGGGCCTCAGTTTTTCCCTTCCTAAATGGAAACATTTTGCGCGCCTCAAGATGAGAAGGGAGAACCTTTTCTGTTACAGTCTCTCTCCTGTACTGCTCTTGGGAAAGCTCAGGCTTTTGCTGGCCTAAGTTAAGAAGGTGGCCTACTGGAAAACTTAACTTCCTCCCCCAACAGGCAAATGGGGAAAAACAAGCCAGTCTCATCCAGAAATTTGCCTGAGTCTCCTTCTTCCCAAATGGGTGAAATCATGACCCTGTCTGGTGTGTAGCCTCACGTTGTGAGTGCACAGGGGCTGCGGGGAGGGGTGTGGAACAGAGAAGCAGCCTTGTGATTGCATGGGTGAATTAGTGATGCTGGGCACAGGTGACAGTCTGGCTCTGGCATTTCTTGTCAGAGCATGCATCTCTCCATTAGCGGGCCAGTGCACAGGAGGGGAATCCCTTCCTTTCTGGGTGAGTGGTGCGTACTCAGCAGTTTCTGGGCAGCTTGGTGTTACCGCTTGACATCACACTCTGGCTCATAATGACTCTATAGTTTGAGCGTAAGCCCAGCCAGGCCTGAGGGTCATGACAGGAATTGTAATAAACATACATGTTATTCTAAGCCAGTATGCAAGGCTGGCCTGTGTCTCATGTTAGACAGATGTGTTCCTGTGCTAAAAGCAGCTGGAGATCAGATTACCTCACACTTTGTCTCCAAGAATCTCATTTCAGGGGATATGGAGGATCTTCTGTGTTAGCATTTCTTTTTTGTTTAAGATTTTAAGTACTCTGTACACCCAACATGGGGCTCGGACTTAGAACCCCAAGATTGAGAGTCGCATGCTCCACCAGCTGAGCCAGCCAGGCGCCCCTGTGTTAGTGTTTCTGATCCAAAGAATAGCCAGAATTTAATTTCCAGTCCCAAAAATATGAACCCCTTGGTTGTTTTATTGATCCCCCTACTCCCCAGCACATGCTTTAAGTAAGATGAGTCAGTCAGTATAAGATGCTTCCTGATAGTCCCATTCATCTTCCTACTTAGGAATTATCCATATCTGGCAACCTGATAGAGGCATTTTTTTTTTTTATTACAGCTGTCAACAGTAACAGCCTGAAATGTCATGTACAGAGAGGAGGTAAATGGGTGAAACAGGGATTTAAGAAAGGCCTTAAAAAGCCTAGCTTGGCTATAGCTGTTGCAGCAGTCATGAACTTCAAATATTCTAGGATGCTTTGTTTCTTACACCATCCTGCTTTTGAGAATTTTGTCAGAAGCTTGCTGTTTTTATGACCACTAAAGAGTACTTTCACCTGCTTAGACAGTGTGATGTAGAGTACAAACTCATTTGAATTGGGCCCAAGACCAACTTAGAAGAATGCTATTGGCTTTCCCTGCTGTGCCTCCCTTTAAGAAACTATGCTAGCCAGGGTAGTTCTAGATCCTACTTCATGGATGTTCTCTTGGGTTATCCTTTTCAAATCAAATTATACTTGCCTTGGATGTGTCTCTTACTATTTAAGGAATTCCATAGAGCCTTGCTACTCAAAAGTTGGGCTCTGGGACCTGCAGATTTACCAGAGCTCTTAGAAATGCAAACTCTCAGGGGGGGCTAGGTGGGCTCAGTCGGTTGAGCCTCATGATTTCACAGCTCAGGTCATGATCTCACGGTTCCTGAGTTCAAGCCCCGCGTTGGGCTCGCTGCTGTCATCACAGAGCCCCGCTTTGTATCTTCTGTCCGTCCCCTGCCACCCCCCCCCCCTTCTGCGCTCTCTCAAAAATAAATCTTTAAAAAAGAAATGCAAACTCTCAGGTCCCACTCCAGATTACAGGATCCCCAGATGATTCATATACATGTGAAAGTTTGGAAAGCATTGCCGTAGTTAATCTGAAATCATCTGCCTTTTATAATCAACTTGAGATATATTGGGTTTGTTATGAATATATAAAAATCAGAATTTCTCAGTCTGAAATCGTGAAATGCTTTCTTTTTTGTTATTTCCGTCTGGACACTTGTATAATCAATCACAGTAATTGCTTGGACTTCCAAACTTTGAAATACGACTCGGGGAAAATTCCTCAGCCCAGGCCTAGGCACCATTTCTGGTTGCCTAGGTTGAAGCTTCACAGCCACCCCATGTGTAGATTGACAGACCTAGTTTAGTCCAGATACGAGCCCGGATCTTTGACATCCAAGCCTGGCGTCTTTTCCTCTGCCACTCAACTGTATCATTATGCTTTGCATGTGGTAGGCCCAAGAAGAATTTTGGAGCTATTGAGTGCAAATGTTTGGGATACAGCAGGCTAGTCATACTGATGTGATTCTGTACTCTTTAGTCTCCCCTCCCTGCCATTTGACCTTTGAGCCCCCAGCTTCTGCTCACATCTCCATTAGAGCACCTAGGAAACCCAGTCCTGTAGGCCTGGGTATCTTCCCAGCCTGGTGGGCAGGGCTCCTCCCCTGGGAAGCCAACACACTGGGGGTTGCTCTCTGGCTAGGTGTCAGAGGTGGGAAGCCAAAAAGATGCCTTCTAGCTTGACACCCTGTCGTGCGCTCTGCTTAGGCAGTGCCAGCCGCACAGGGAAAGTGTTAGTAGGTGGAAAGGAGTGTAAATTTATAAGGTGTGTTTTAAGGCTTACTTCCACTTTAAAAATTTCATCTCTGGCAGCAGCTGGCGGCAGTCCTGGGTTACTCCACTTCCTTGAGCTTCTGAATGGCAGACAGCCGCCCGGAAGCAAAGTCAAGCCCAGGTGAACCAGTGTGTGCCATCAGGCCTGATTGAGGACCCTGCAAGTTGACCAGGGAATTAATTTTAAAAAGCATGAGGGTTTTGCTTCTTAGAGCACCTGCGTTACATTATGCCTTATGGATGGAGAGTTAGTTCGTACATGGAAAGAGGGCATATGGTGCAAAAGAATTCCCAAGTCTTGGGTTCAAATCATGATGCCACTGCATGACCCTGGGCAAGTTAATCAGCCTTTCTGGTTCTGTTTCCTCTAGAGAGCCTTGGCCTGTGTCTTGGGCTTTGTCAAGTGTGAATTGGCCTTATATAATTGAGGGCTGACTCTGCGTGGGCATGCCCCAAATGCTTTATATCCGGGCTTCTCAAATGTAAATGTCTTTAGAATTCCCTAGGACCTTGGAAAAAGCAAAGATTTTGATCCTGCAGGTCTGGGAGGGCCTCAATTCCGCACAGCTGTGTGGGATGCTAATGGGGTAGCCTTTTAAGAAGGAAGGCCTGGCTGGGTACTAGGATTGTTCCAATTGTAAGATTGAGGAAGCGAGGTCTCAGAGATGTTAAGTAACAGTGCTCAAGGTCACTCAGCTTGTTGGGGCAGAGCTCACACTGCTTTGGAACTTCTAAGTACTCCTCCCTCTGTATTGCCCCTATTGGGGTGAATGTCCGGGTTCTGTATCTGTGGCCCCTGTCTTCACTGAAAAGAAAGATGTGGGCTAACTAGGTGATCAACCACCAGAGTAAGAGAAAGGAGATGGACGTTTTCCCCCAGGCTTTGTCGCTTCCTTGCTTTGTGATTTCAGGCAAGTTCCCACTCCATTTTCCTGTTGTAAGCCACCTGACCTGACTGGATTTTAGAAACCTGTGAAGGACTTTGCTCTCCTCCAGCAATAGGTAAACCCAGGTTACTGTTAAGCCATCTTTCTGGCACCATGAATGACAGAGGCCAAAGCTGCAGTCCCAGGCCGGCCAGGCCCTGGTCAGGACGCTTCCCCAAGACACGGCGGAGGCCATGCCCTGCCTCAGACTGAGGTCAGTGGCCCGAGGCGCACCTGCTGCCCTCCCCTTTGCACTCACAAAGCCTGTAATGTGGGTGAACGCAGAAGGGGAAATAAATCGGAAGCCTGCTCCCCCCTGGCGTGTGCCCAGAAAGGGCAGCTCGTTCAAGTGTGACCTTTTGCCCTTTGGAAAGGGGGTGGGGAAGCCTCAGCATGGCTCTGTACCATGTCCCCACACCTGTCCTGGGGAGCCTCGCCTGCATGGACTTTTTCCCATGGGAAGGAGAGCTGTTAAGGTGGGGAGAGGGGTGTAGGGCAGGTGGCCTTTAAAG